CAACAAATTTCTCATGATCTTTTATCAGCAATTTTCGGCAATCAAAGATCTAAATAACCTGTATGATGTACCATATTGGGCGGGCGAATGCAGGGTTTGTTGGTGGGGGTGCGTGATATTTTGAGAATATGGACATCTAGGTGCCCGGAAATTGCACTCTTATACTTTAAAAATCCTACCGATACTACCCAGTATGTTCGTAATAATAAAAATAATATATCAACGGTACAATACAACAATTATTTTTCTTAATAAAATTTAGGGGTGTGACCGGAAATGACTCTTGTGTAGTAAAACCCGTCATCACCACACATCACCATTATAGTCCAAACGAAGTGTCAACAAATTTCTCATGATCTTTTATCCGTCATTTTCGGCAAACATAAAGATCCAGTTAATTGTGTGATGTACACGTAAAACCCCCAAATCCCCTAAAAATATGTGAGGGAACGTGTCCCCCCCCCCCCCAGGATCTGCGCCCATGCGTGTGGGTGTGTAATAGAACTTAACACGTAGGTGATAATTCTTAAGATTCATGGTAAATAAGATATTACAGTATTCGTTTAATCTCTCCATTGCTCGAGGTATGAGACATATAGGTAAAACGAGCCATTGTGCTCATCTAGGCTGGACCTTATCCCCAGTTTGAAGTAGCATTCTACTTTGCTTGCTACTTTCTTTGTGATTGAACACATGCAGGTAGCAGTTCAACTAGCCTATGTTGACATTTTTGATATTTATTCTACTATAAGTTCTCATCTTCCCCCAGTGATTCCGGTGAGTTCATCACTACCCTCTCCCCCACGCCCCGATCCTAACGATATAGGCTCGTTAATTTATTAAACGAAATCAAAGTATTGTAGAACTGTTTTGATCGTTAATAAACGCAACACAAAGGATGTTAACTTACAGTTCTACAATAATTATTAAGCAAACCAGATGAAACTATTCGAATATTTACGAAATTATTTTACACACATAATATACATAGGAGGTATATCGCATGATAATGGGTACCGCATTACAGAATGCTATAATTGGATACATATTGTGTTATCTTATTTAAAAGAGATCATACAAAATAATGTAAACATAGTCAGTGGCGGCTAGCGGCTGTAGGGTAGGTCTATCTTCTGGGGGTGGGGGGGTGAGCTGTCCGATAGGGGTCTTGAGCTTGAAGGCCCGGGGAAGGATTTCGGAGGGTGTTCCTCTCCAAAATGAGATTTTTTCAGGAATAACCTCTGGATGGTCATAAATGACACGCTCACACTGTGACGGACTATTTTTATAAAACTATTTGTTCAGTCTGTCTGCCCGACGAGCTCTGTCCGATGGGGAGAGGGGCTTGACCTCTCTGGTGGGGTGCTTAACCCCTGCTACCAACTCCCCCGCTGGCACCACCACTGAATAGAACCCTTACAGTCCGCATTGTTTTTGAACAATAATTCAAAATTCAGCCCAAAACACTAGAAGTTATGGAACTTAATTTTGATTGGCCTAAAAATTGCTTTCGACAAATAAAAGTAACTTATCTGTAGTTAAAACTTGGTTTAAAATTGACAGATGCACAGACATGGCTAAGACATGCGCAATAAAAATACATACAAAATATAGGCCTATAAAAAAATTAAAGAAAATGAATGAATATAGGCCTACAATGTTAAGCTTGTAGTTTTGACATATAAAAATAACTAGGTAATTAAAGTATAAAAATTAAAGTTGTTTTGATTTAAAATTCAGTTTAAATTTCCATTACAAATTTACTGTAAAAAAACTAATGTAAAGACTGACTTAATAATTTCGCATTAATGTCGTTTTGTACGCTTATTAAACCGGTTGATCACATCAGTTACAAATGAATATCTAACTAGGCCTAACTGTTCCGGGTACACAAAGCCTAAAGCCAGATCTTTAACTACAATTAGAACAAAACACAAGAGAATCCCTAATAACGGGAAACCAAACTTTGGGATCAAGTTGTTCTGAATAGGAGCTAGTAGGCCTAGTGTTAAACGGGATACTATTCCCACTTGGCGGTAAGAAATGTCTAACCTATTGGACCAGAACCAACAATACAACACTTCCCCTATCCACCACCAATTCTTCCGATGACATGAAGGTACGTCGGCAACTACGAGTTTACTAGGATATGTACTTAATGCATGGAGGAATTAGTTTAGAAAGTATCAGGAAAGATGGTGACATAATAATCTTGCCTGAACGAACAAAAGAGAGGGTGCGATTGAACTCTGTAATGTATTATGCAGTGGCGGATCTAAGGTTTAGCAATGGGGTGGGCAATGGGAAGTGAGTATGACCGAGTGTTGGGGAGAGGTGATTTTGGGAGGGCGTCCACTCCCATTTGAGATTTGTTTGGAATTAATAAACTGCTATACGACCTTAGATGGCATCTGAAAAAAGTAACTTTTACCAGAGTACACGAGAAGTACACACACAAGACGAGTGACCATTATTTTTTTTTCACGGTAAACGAACAGGGGGTGGCTAGCCACCCGATCCGCCACTGATTGGGCCTATTGCATTATTTCGATTAGCTGTCATTGTTATCAACTGCATTTATTTATGAGTACACGGGATATGATAAAATGTTGATGTTATTTAACTCAAACATCACTATTCATTATTCATGTAGCATTTGGTTTAACAAATCCAAGAAGGATATTGAAGATCTGGAGAAAGTACAAATTCAAATGGCCCATTTTCTTTTAAAAGCCCCTCGGTATACACCTAAAGAGGCTCTTTATGGAGACTTAGGATGGGTCCCCTTATCTTAAACACATGAAGTGACCAGAGTTAAATTATTTAATCGCTTTATTAACATGGAAAATTACAGGTGGCCTAATATAGTGCTTAAATGTATGCTTCAACTTGAATGCGACTTTAATACCTTAAAATATAAATTTCTTATTAGTTGTGTAGATACTTTTGCAAAATGTCCTGATATTGATTTTTATAATCATGTTTTTGATTTTGATAATTTAATGTGTAATTCTTTCTCTGTCAATATTGTAGAACGTGATGTATCAGAATGGTATAAATCAGAGTGGACAAATAAATTATTGCAAAAACCTTCATTAATTAATTATTCAAGACTTCAAGTTTCTCCTAAATTACAAAAATATTTGTTGGACAAAACAAATTTTCTTGGGGCAAGCCTAAAATTTAAATTAAGATCTAATACACTACCCCTTGATTGTAAAACGTGTAAATGGTCAAATTATGTTTCAGGCATTTGCACCCTATGTGAAAGTGGAGAAATTGAAGATGTCAAGCATTTTTTACTAAATTGTCCCGCTTATAATATCGTTAGAAAACAACATTTAACAAATCTTGAAAATGACCTTCTACTTTGTAACGATTATGATACATCTTTAGATTTTATATTTTGTAGGTTAGTTATTTTAAGCATTTACTTTACAGTTGACCAGTAAATATTTCTGAGTATGAAATGCGAAGTGAAATGTTATCTCATCTAATTTCATATGTTATTTTTCTACCTTTCTTTAATTTTGTAATTTTATTTACAGTCGATTGTTATTTATTTTGTTTGTTAAATTTTCCCCTTTTTTGTTTTTGTTTGTACGAACGCACCAATTGATATTGAGTGCCACCGATTCAAAGGTGTATGTTCAAATAAATAAATAAAATAAATCACTCCACTTATCGAATAACAAAGTCCTTAAAATAAATTGTCTTTTGTGATTTTACAGATGAAGGCATTATTTGTTTTAGATAATGCGATTGATCTGCAAAGCCACCGTAACAACAGATTCTTCAGTAGTCAGGCTTCCCGACCCTAAAGTTCAATGGATCAATACCTTGAGGCCAGAGTGGTTCATGTGATGAGTATATTTAGACAGGGTGATCCTTCCAATTAGGCGTTTAAGGCGATATTTATGGTCCACATAACAAAAATGTACCGTAGTTAATGTGATTACAAGAACAACATACGACATGGAATTAAAATATAACATTAATTTATTTTGTGGAGCTCGGTTTTACCAACGTCAGTTAGCCTGTATAGTGAGAAAATTACACCTCGGGGAGGCTGCTTTTACTGGGTAGCGTAAAAAGAGTTTTAATTTGTTCCCTCGTGGATTTCATTTCCATATTACAAAACCAATGAACAATAATACATTATTACTTGATTAAACGGTAAAATGAAAAAATAATTACTACACCCAGAATTTGTAGGCCTGTGAATGCAGTAATGAAGGGCAACTTCACACTATAAAGACAAACGATAAAAATCGCATGAAAATAGCCGTTTCTCCCATAAATCAAATATATTTAGCAGGTTTTCCGTTTTCAAGAAAATATGAAATGCGCAGTTTCCAAAAATCTGACGAATTGCTTGGTGATGGGTCAACTTATATTGGCCTAAAGTAAGTAAGATTAACAAATTTACATAATTTTATAATTTACTAAACAAATTCGTCACAGACACATGTTGTAAGAGCGGTGCAGCTTCTTAGAGGACATTTCACTCGCTGCTGTGCATGTAATTGTATCAGGCGCAGTTTGGTCTGAGGATTATGGGCCTGTTTGTTGATATCCTTATACCAGTCATTAAAATGAGATAATTAATATCCTTTATTATGTTTTTCTAAAAAGAGTAAGCAAGAATTCAGTTAAAGTTAATTTATTGCCGCATATTATGATTATTTTACTTATCAAAGTAAATAATCCACATAGCCTATGACGTTATCAGTAAACACGTCTATCACTTCAATCCTCCTTGCTTCATTATTACATTTTATCAAAAGTATCATATGATTATAAGGCAGGGGAGGTGCTATGAGTGCCCTCCTGATTCATGTAACCAATCAAAACTGCCAAATGCTTGATAATCTTGCAGCGTATGTCATCAAGTGGATAAGGTAGCCAATCAGAACGTTTGCTTGAATGCTTGACAATAACACTTACTGCTGTGTATGTCACAGCAAACCACACTCAACAATTTGTTAGCGTACTGTATACACAACAACTGTACTGAGCAAACCACACTCACCAACCTGTTAGCATACCGTATAAAACTATAAAAGTACTGTAATCTACAAGCAAAGAAGATGGCTTCACGGCACTACACACAGTAAGTTTTAACCAATATTATTTTACATGTGTTAGACGTACATCATAACTTAATTGTATGCATTTCTAACTTGAATAATTTGATTTATTGATTAAATAATATTGGAAAAGAAAAGAAAGATTATTATAAAATTTTATAACGAACTTAGAATAGTATATTTACACTTGATGTCCTAATATCGACATCGGTATTTTATTATTAGCCAAGAAATCAATCAATAATTTATGTACAATGATTGTTTTTCTGAATTTTATTTCTGTTAACTAAATTGAGGCATTGTTAAAGCCTAATAATAGACAATAATAATGGTGATGCTAATAATTATTCAGACACAGACAGCACCTCCTGATCGATTAATTCATAAATTGAAAACCCGCCTCCTTTCCGTCGATGGCGTACAGTATTCCTAGTTGTCGGATGCAAGGCACTGCGCACATAGTACATCAATGTTATGTATAGTAGATTATAAAAACTTCATTCATTTATTAATAATCAAAATGAATCATATGTTATAATCAATTACTGTAATATCTATCATGCATAAATTTTATCGCTGTACTGGTATTACAGTGTAAATGATTTATTAGCTATTGTATTATTTTAGTTAAGTAGATTTATAACTGTTTCCTTTTACCATCGCAGTGACGACTTATACGACGCAGTATCTAACAGAAAATGGGGTCAAGTAAGACTTATTATCAGAAACGAGCCTGAACTCGTAAATGAGAAATGGGTATGTAATGTAGGCCTATACACTATTCAAGTATAGTTCAACATCATTTAACTCAAAGGACAATCACAGCAAATTATAATATTAATTATATTATTAATAAAAGCACCTTCCTTGCAAATGTAAGCTCATCATGCATTGTCACCATTAAAGACATTATAAGGGCAAACTAAGAATGACACTGAAACAAAAACTAAGAAATATGTAATTGAATTAATATGTATCATTGTTCAATGCAAAACACCAACACAATCATAAACAACTTTTTTTAAAATTAGTACAAAAATTATCTACCTGAACATATAAATTAGTGTATTAAAAAAAATGTTTAGAGATAATTTTACAGCGAAAATGATAAAACAGGAAGTGTTTATTTTTATTGTTATTATATAGTCCAGTCCATTATAAAAATCAGGTTACAAATTTTATTAAATTCAATAATTTCTATGCTCAAATTTATAATTTGTATGTTACTGAAAAACTAACAAATCGATATCAAATTATTTTTTAAATGATTTGTTTGTCATTTTCAGAGAGCTATACTTCTTTAAGGATTAGGCGTACATAGTACACTGATACAATTATAATTAGCGTGTGCTTATCATGCATAGGTCTACTGGTCAAAAGATACTTGGTAGCATTGTTTAAACCTATCAAATAATGTTTCTTATTTATTATTATTCCTCAATAAAAGTTAATCAATTCATTCAATAATGTATTTACAATAGAAAGTAAATGGCAATGGGTGTAATTGTTGAATTATTGTTTGGACTTCAATTGTGTGCGCTCTCCTAGCACTAAATTCTCGCTGACAACCAAAGATATTAGTCTAGCGCCCTCTTTAGTGTAACACCTACTTATCTTTAAAACTTGATTGAGATAGGCCTACTTGATTATTTACTTTGGTGGTATTAGTTATAGTCTAAATAATGTTGTTAATACATATTAAGTTTTTTTGTGTTTTTTTTAACATTTCAAAACACAACACAATTACAGTAAAAACAAAGGTTGTCGCCGACGCAGCGGCATTTTATCAGAAAACAACATGCAAAACAAAAGAAACCTAAAATAAATATAAAGAAAAACAACAATTCTTTTTACAAGCAACTGAATTCTGTAAATGAGAATTTGAAGATTAGAACATTCTACACGTTTCCATTTAAGAACATGCGAGTTCAATCTATTGTTTTCGGAAGCAATCTGCTTTTCAACTTCTACCGTTCTTTTTACGATAATTTTAAAGTGATTAAAAACCTTAAGATGGTTGCATTTAAAAGTAAATCTTCGCAATGAGTATTTATTGCATCAAAATTATGGCTTGTCCCTATGTGCCAAATAAAAAGTAGTTAAAAATCACCTTATTATTAGCACCCATCAACTGATCATCGACGAGCCTCCCCCCCCCTCCCCAACTTCACCTTACACCCCTCATCCCATCAGAACTCACACTTCAAGACCTACATGCCACTGGGTACAGGCACTGGATACAGGTGCAATGATACAGTTCTAAAATGTCCATCACTGGCAGGCCCGTAGTTAGGGGGGGTTTTTATGGTTCGGGCGAACCCCCCTTTTCTAGCGAACCCCCCC